CAATTATTAAGAAAACTGTCCTAACAATTAGAATGTATGAAAATTGCAATCGGTTATTTTTCTAAGACTGTTAATGTCAGTCATTGGGAGAATTAAGCAGAGGTTGGATTGAGGGTAGTGCCAATCTATATGAAACTGTGTGTGTATTAGAAAAAGGCACCCTGTGTGGTGGACTTAATAAAAGTTGCTCCCTCTGTGTGAATGTATCCCCTTGCCAGCTAACCGGCTTAGTGCATAGAGAACGGCCTTCATTTCAGCCTGCGTTTTCCATCTCAGGTGGGAACCTTTTCTAGTGTCCTCCTGTTAGAAATGCTGTAGATCAACTTCCTGAAGTAGGTAGGAGTTTGGAGTTGATGCCTTTTAACATTTGAGCCTATAACTTGGAAATAAATCAGCGCTTTAGGTGTCCTGGTCTCCACACGGAGTCTGTGTCTCTCAAAAACAACCAAATATGATCCAGCTTATATCCTGCACAGCATTTTCCGACAGACCCTTTCCTCACTCAAACCAGGCCCAGAAATTGCTCCAGAGGCTCTTACCTGCCAACCCTCTAAAATTCTCTCCAAAGCCCCAATCCCTGAGGATTCCTACCTTTCTTTTGTCTCCTCCATTTCTCCTACATTTCCCATTTAGTTTTTCCTCTCTCTATCCTCCAGATTCTATAATATTTTAAAAACAGAACTGTGTTAAAAAAAAAAAAAAGAACTTTCTTTAGATTCTAAGAGAACAGGGAGAAGTTGAGCAAGTAAAGATAAAGTCTCTCCTTTTTTCCCCCCTTACTATCTTTAATTCTCATTCTCTTTTCACTTATTTTCCATATTCTTTAATAGCACAGCCTGGAAACCAGACTGAGATAGACCAAGTGATTCCTGAGTAATTTCAGGAGTAGCAACATTCACATATTAACACTTATTGAGTGCATCTTATGTCTGCAGATTCTTCTACCAGATCCTGAGGAAAGAAGCAAAGCAAATGATGTGAATAATCCTTACTCACAAGGAATTTACAGTCTCATGAGTCAGACTGGATAAAATCACATGAAATAGATTTAAAGGAATAAAACCAATAAACGTTGAAAATGACTAAAGCTCTACACCCACGAATAGCCTGAGAGTTACCTAGATATTGATTATACAGCGTGAGCAGAGCTGTGGGGAAACCAGGGAAAGGTTCATGGAAGAGGTAAATATTGAGTAAACATTTAGAAGATGTGGAAGGCTGTGTAACTAGGGAAATTAGCATAGAGATAGACTGAAGAGTCAAAGCAATGTGCAGGAGATAGTGAGTGAGTGTACCTTCCTGCTGGAACAGAGGGTCTGTGCTGGGTGGGAAGCCTTTCTTCTCAGTGGGAATGCAACTCTCTCCTCTGAGCTCCCACTGTCNAGTAAACATTTAGAAGATGTGGAAGGCTGTGTAACTAGGGAAATTAGCATAGAGATAGACTCAAGAGTCAAAGCAATGTGCAGGAGATAGTGAGTGAGTGTACCTTCCTGCTGGAACAGAGGGTCTGGGCTGGGTGGGAAGCCTTTCTTCTCAGTGGGAATGCAACTCTCTCCTCTGAGCTCCCACTGTCACTTATTTTGTGACTTGATTATTAGTTTGTCCCATTCTGTTTTGAGTTAGTTATACATTTTTCTATTTCCTTGATTAAATAACTTCTAGAATATAGAGACGATATCACCCACCCCGAAGCACTTCACATAGTCTAGCAAATTATGGTTGTTCAATAAAAACTTGATGCTTTAGAGTTGATAGGAAGCTAGTCAGAGCGGGTGGGGGAGCAGAGAAGGGTCACATGCTTCTGTTAATGAGTTTAAGATTAAGTTTGATATTGGAGATAAGTGAAGTTCAAATGTATCAGTGATGCGATCAAAATGTTTTAAGAAAAATTTTTCCGTTGGTCCATGTGTGAGGTGGAAGTTAATAAGTTTATCTTTTTATTGACGTAGGTATTATCCTGGATATTTAGGAAGAGATGTCCCATATAGACGGTAGGAGTACTAAATTTTAGGCTACGATTAGTCATTGAAACTTTTAAATAAATATATTTTGAATTTTATGAGCTCATCAATTACTCTTAGTGTCTCATGTGCGTAAATAAATTTCTTCATAAAGTTTATTCTTTTTTCGGTATTGCTGATTTTAGGTACAAGTGATACCATGCTCTAGAGTGAGATTTTGGCATGTTTTAAACAGCGTGTATGCACATGGGATTGCAAAAATATTTGTAATTAAAATTCCAGATTTAAACTTAAAGATTTTTAGAAAGATTTATTCTAATCTGTAGGAAGTTTTTGATTGAGAGACTTCAGAACAATTTTATTAAACTAATTCCTCCTCCTTTCCTGTCTTAAAATATTTCATAACAATTACTGGCATTGATATGATTTTTGGTACTTCTCTATAAATTCACATTTGATTCTGAAAATCCTGTTCATGTGAATTCTTTGTTACTAGAATTTAATACAAATTTTTAAATGATAGAAATTACACAAATACTAGCTGTTCATTGGTGATTTCAGTCAAGCTTTCAATTACTTTTCTCATTTTGTCAGCATAGATTTGTATTTATAACCTAGATATATTTTAAAAATATATCTTTAGTGATTATTTCGACTGTAAAAGTAATATATAATGAGTTTATGTATAGCTTCTACATTTCTTTGTGTATATACTAAATGGAGTATATAATACAAAATTTAAGATTTTTTTTTTTGTGTGTGAAGAAAAACCAATACAAAATCTCTATTATGAGTGGATTTACATTTATCTGGTGAGTCCATGTCTCCATACTAAGAGAATAGCGTTAAAATGCTACAACTTAGTCTCTACACGGGGTTTTCTTTATATAGATCCCAAACCTGAACTATTGGATAGTTTGGAAATTTAAAATAATATAAACAATTGAAAAATACTAAGTAAATTCTATTTGGTAGATACAAATAAAGTATACATTTCTCTCTCTCTCTCTCTCTCTCTCTCTCTCTCTCTCTCTCTCTCTGTTACTCTTTCCATAGATAGATACATAGATGGATATATGAGATACATATATATTTAGAATTCATTGAATTTAAAAAGAAAGATATTTTTGCACAGATGCAAACTAGAGATATCATCTTTGGAAGACTGAGAGAGTAGTTCTTCACTTTATTTTAAAAACAGTGGGAAAAAATACAGCAGGGGACCTTAGAAGTAGCCAAAGGATCCAAGTACTTTGTTATTCTAAAGGCATCCAGAAATCAGATTTCTATTCTCTGGATAAATGGGCCTTAAAAAGGGCTGCAGCAAATATACATGATATTCCTTTTCTTGGCTTCACAATTTTAGTTAGTATATTGGCTTTTTGGTTTAATTCCAAAGGCACAGCTCATAAATGCAGGCTTTTTCTTCGGGGCAGGGCGGTGGGGGGAATCACAAAATAAAAATCTTTGACAGTCTCTCTGTTCTATTATAAAATGTAACACTCTTTCTTAAAATGAAAACACCCACTTCCAAAAGTTATGTGAAAAGAGGGAAACACCACAAAAAAAAGATAGGGACACTTCAAACAATAGTTTGAACCATATGTTATTCCTCAGTAAATTTCAGTTACAATAGCATCAGTGTGTGAATTATACAACTTAGAGAAACAGAGAAAACTGAATGAACAATTTCACAGAGAACTCCGGCCACAAATATTTGTTCATTGTGATACTGATTTTCTCAGGCCATGAGATGAAATTTCAGTTTGTTTATGAGAACTAGCCATTTCTTTCCCAGACTGGGCAGTGACTATCTGAATGTTTCTGTATGAATGAGAGCCTCATTTACCAGGGAATAGAAATGATAAGGACCTTTAGCGATGCCCTGTCATGTTGATGAATTTTGTAGAACTGGCAGTCATCTGACATGTTGAAAATATATACCACTTAACAAAATAAGGCTGGATTCTCTGAATATATTTTACACAATAGACCCCTCTGGCAGTTTTATGATCTTGCATAGCTTGTAGAGAGAGACTGGACTAGCTGGATGCTTCCTGGTTTCATTAACATAGCCCAGCCCACATCCAACACACGCCCAGAACTACCTCATTAACCATTGGGATTGCAGCCAAAAACATAAGACTACAGTGAATATAAGCAGAATTACTGGCGAGAGAGCTGTAGACCAACTTAGCACTGAACCCATTACTTTTTCAGGATCAGAAAAATATTACATTAACAGGAACCACTTCTCATTCAGATAATAATTCAAGGTTTTAATCCATAGTTTTTAATCTATAATAATTAGCAACACCCTAATAAGACATACTGCCAAGCTGCATATCTTTAAGTGCTTCTCTGTTAATCTCTCTCTCTTTTATTTATTTATTTTCTGGTTAGCTTTGATATTGTAAACCACAGACGAATTGGAGCCTAGCATTGAAAGGAGGGGTTCTGCAACGATTTTTTTTTTTCTGGTCTAAAGAAGTTTACTTCTACAAGAGGGAATCTGAAAAATGACAGGAGCAAAGAGGAAAAAGAAAAGCATGCTCTGGAGCAAGATGCATACCCCCCATTGTGAAGACATTAAACAGTGGTGCAGAAGGCGGCTACCTATTCTGGAATGGGCACCACAGTATAATCTGAAAGAAAACTTGCTTCCAGACACCGTGTCTGGGATAATGTTGGCAGTTCAACAGGTGACACAAGGTAATGTACTGCATTTGATTTTCCTGTTTTATGCAGAATGGATGTCACTTTGCTTTCTTGGAAGAGTATTGTGACCTAGGATTGACAATTTAGCTAATGAAACAGATATTTAATGAAATGGATATTAACTTTGGTGAAATAAGAACATTGGATAGCTGTGTACAAGAGTTTTCCTAATTGTCTTTTTCTTTTTTTTTTTTTTTTGATATTTTTGATAGCTGTTAAGCATCAAACCAACGTTTGAATGGCACTACATAATTGCAATGTTAAAATTCATACTATTTTAGAATAAAAGATTGGTAATTGTGGGAGAATGAGTTTTTATAATGTGATCTTGCTGATATAGTTTCATACTTACATAATCAAGATATAAAATATTTCCTGACTTAAACACAGTCATTTTTGAACCTAATTAACAGCACACAATTACCTGCTGTAGCTTTGAGAGTTGCTATAAGCAAGAAACAAAACTTTCTGTACATAAAGGAGGCTCTTTGCCAAGACCATTATTTGCAAAGAGAATCCTGTATGTCCTTAGAGCTTATGTTTTACTGTGTAGGCCGATTTACTTCTGTATCACATTACCTACAGCAAGGATTTCTCAATAGGAAATTTAAACTGATGAGAAGTCTGATTTAAACTTTCCCAAAGCAGATTCTAAATAATATTCTGGATTTAGGTAGGGATTTCTCTTGGTGAAACCTAGGTAACTAAAGTGCATGTGTGTGTGTGTGTGTGTGTGTGTGTGTGTGTGTGTGTGTGTGTGTGTGTGTGTATCTTTTCCTTAAAGACATATTCATTATAATTTTTGGCTAATTCAGGTAATGATTTTCTACCTGTAACAAGGAAGAGAATTGATTTCTCAGCCTTGAGAATTTGGAACAGTTTCTTTGGCATAGACTCTGTAGGTTTATATTTCCTTACAGTTTCATTACCTCCCTTGCTTTAACTGTTATTCATACTGTTAAATTATAAGCACTCTTTTAATTAAGTTATTATGTAGCAGGAACAAACTGGTTTGTGTATTTGTGTTTTTAGTAAGATTAGGAACATCTGCACTGGTGGCTTTACTTTAAGATCCATAATACTATCACACTTTATGGGATGCCATTTCACAGAATAGTCTTGTACTACATTTTAATGACCATTTTTCCAATAGCAAAGCGTAAGTAATCTTTCAGAAAAATGCAAAATGAATAACAGTTTAGGGTATTTTCAGCCTTGCTTTTATTTAATTTTAAACTCAAAATGAAACACCACCATGTATTTTGAAAACTTAAAAGAGCTTTTTTTTTTACCCAGATAGTTTCAGCATATGTTATAAATTTAATTTGCTTTAATTTAATGTAAAATGAAGGAGAATTATGTTTTAATAATTATGTTTTTTACCTTTGGAAAATATCAGGTTGATATGAAAACTGGGGGATATGATGGAGTTACCTGTGTACATCATTATCAGTATTGTTTATATGTAAGTCTTTGGTAGTTAATTTTATGGCTTTTATTGGATTTAGATTTTGAGGGATTTTGTTTTATGCATCATGTATTTCACTGGTTATGAAGAAACACACTGGCCAGCCCCTAACTGGTGAGAAGCACCAAACTTACTCAGCCCTTGTGTCTTGGGAAGGTACAGATCTGGCTTCTGGTTCCCCAGGAAGGCTACCAGTGAATGGACAAGACTACACTTCTGGGAAGACCTTAAAGTATTTTGCTGGTGTATGGAAAGACTAATCTTTCTAAAAGTACCGATTTTTAAAAAACTAATTATCTCAAACTTTTTCATGCTTATCTTCTATGGAGAGTTAAAAAGTTAAGTATCATAAGCTACGATTTCTTGTAAGGGGCACGGTGCTAACCCCTTACTTATGTTATCTCCCCCATCCTAACGAAACCCAGAGAGACAGTCTCCTCTCCAGTTTTCATATGAAAAGATGGAGCTTAGAAGAATAAGTAATTTTCCCAGAATCTCACACCTGAGAAGTGGTAGAGTCAGGACTTTCTTCCAAAGCCAATACTCAACATTTTCACTTCATACTCTGTGCTGCCAAAATAACCAAATTCTCCATAATACCAATGTTATTAGTAATAGAAGTCATTGCATTGGAAAGATATGAATACCCTTCCCTTTAAATTACTTTTGCATTCAGGTTTCATCTCTGCAGTTTTTAGACTCAAATATGAAGTGACAAGAAACATAAATACAGTAGGAACCAGAGTAAAGGTGTTTAAACATCATTACCTCCTGTTTTTGTGAGTACGGTCTTAGCAATTATTATCAGCTCTATTTCTTATGAAAATTATAAGAAAGAAGGGGTATAAACAATTTTTAATTGAAAGTTAAAGTTTAAGTTAAAAAAGAAGGAAGGGGCAAATTTGCTCTTTCATCATAATACAAAATAGGAACAAATACCTTTTATCACTTTACTGAATTTTGAAACAGCTTTTCAATTACTCAGCATAGTTGAATTATATGAAATTGTTGAATTCAAATTTTTTTGTCCTACAAAAAAGAAAATTTATGATTCATTCTAGTAGTTGTTTTTCATTCTTCTTTATCTAGAAATGCACTTAAAATTAAGAAGAATAATGGAAACTAAGATGATTTGAGTATTTTCTATATGTCAAATACCAAGAAACCATTTAAAATTATTTTATTAAAGATTTCTTAACTGTTAAATATAGATTTTTTTGTAACCAGTATACTTGACTCCTTTATAACATGATCTGTATCAATTATATTTTTTCTAAAACCCTTTCTTCTCTTAGTTTTTGGCACCACTCTTTCATTAGCCTTCTACCTGTCTTGCCTTCTCTTCTTAGGATCTGCAGATTTTCTGTCCTACACTTATCTACCCATTAAACATCAGTGTCCTGGAGACTCAATCCTTTGCCTTCTTCCAATCTGTCTTGCCTTCTCTTCTTAGGATCTGCAGATTTTCTGTCTACACTTATCTACCCATTAAACATCAGTGTCCTGGAGACTCAATCCTTTGCCTTCTTCCAAAAGGACTATAGACAATTTCATCTGCATAAAAGACTCTAACCACCATCACTATGCTAATGAAACTTTCTTCTCAACCTGTGGTCCACATATTTAACCATGCAAACCTGGAATGTTCTAAAAGTACTTCAAATGCAATATGTAGTCTTCTGAAACAAGTACACTGAGTGATGCCGATATTCTAACTAGAATTACAATAATGAATAATAATAATGGTAATTTTTAGGTACAAATGTAAGCACTGTTTTAAGAATACTTGACATACATACAAAACTGAAGCTCAGAGTGGATAATAACTTGCCTGAAGTCACACAGCAAGTGAGTAAAAGAGGTAGGATTCGAATAGAGGTAATCTGGCTCCAGAGACTATGCTCTTACCCTTGTACTAGACTACCTCTCATAGAAAGTTGTTCTCCACTCTTCCCTCTCCTTTGTTACCCTACCCATTAGCATACAATCACCTACCAGGTTCTTCCTTTTTATCCCCTAAATATCTTTTCAACCATTTAGTTTTGCTTCTTGGCCCTTGCAGCTGCCTTAACTCACTGTCTGAAAGTCACTGTCTTGTGGGTCTTCATTCTCTACTCTGTCTCCGCCTGTAGGCTCTATTGCATACTGCAGCCAGAATAATTATCACAATCTGAATGTATTGCTTCCCTGTTCAGAATTTTTCAATAACCCTCTTGTTTCTCTAGGATAAAAGCCCAATTCTTCAGCATAACCTATTAGATCATTAATAAACTGGGCCTCTTGATACAAAAATCTACTCAAAGAGATCCCTCCTTGGGAATCCTTCCCAACCTCTCCTACTTCCTTTGTACTTTTTATGTATCTCTGTGATAGGCCTTAACACATTGCATTGTAACCTTTTTGTACAACTCTTTCCACATTGGTCTGTAAGCTCTGGAAACAAAAATGATGTCTTAATCTTAGTATTCTTACCAACTTGTATATTGCATGGCACTTAGAAGTAGGTTTTTAACAAATGTTTGTTGGAAGAATTAAAACATACTCAAAGATTCTAATTGTCCTATTGCAGCATGCTGCCACCCTAGGAAGGAAACTGAGTTAATTAATTTTCATGTTTTCAAAATAAATGTAACAAAAATACTGATAGAAAAAAAATTAAAAATATGAGTAATTGATTTCTTCCAACTTCTTTTACTTTCTTGAAGGTACAAGTTTGTAAGTTCTCTTACTTGCTTGAAGGTGCAAATTTGTAGCCCTCCAGACAAATCTGGTAAAAGATACATTTCCTTTGTTTCAAAGAGTGTTAATTTTTTCTTCAGCCAATATTAATAAATATGAATAGTTCCTCAAAAAATCCAGATGCCTAGCTTCTATTGAAAAATGGTAAAACACAGCCATATAGGGCCCACATATCCATGGGACAAAAATCTGCTAGACCCTCAAAGAGGACCCCATCAGACAGGGCACACACTTTGCATTTTGCCACATTCACTGCCACCCTCCTTGCTAGTATTCCCATTACCTGCCTAGCCCTACAGATGGCTAAATTTGTTTCCTCTGCCAAGATCCTTTCTAACATGTTTTATTGAGATACCTTGAACTCACCCCTTGAATAAAACCTTCATAGAGAGTTTACCTAAGATTAGCTTCATGACCAAGATCCACAGAACCTTCAGGTTTATGTGCCTGGACTGATGTATCCTGATATACCTCATTTCTTTATAATCCTATTCATTGTTTGTTATTTATTTTAAAAAAGTATTCTGGAAAGGAGACAATAGGCTCTACCAGACTGCCAAGGGGGTGAATTGCCTCTCTCCAAAGTAAATAAATAAAGCATAGATGTGTTAGTCTCAAAGAAAGACAGATAAAAGATACTTAAGGTCTTTCTCTCACTATGTTTCAATATTTCATTGAAAACATTTGTATTTTTTAAATATCTTAAAAATTTGAGAGCTCTCATCACTAACGTGAGGTAAGAGCCATTATAGTTAGCATCTACCACGATGTTCTTTAACTGATATCC